CATTATTCTGTAGGTTTGTTTTGTTTACTTTTCCAAGAAGGCCTGTCGGTGGCTCTGCTTCTGGAGTAGTTGCCTCCTTAGGTGTTTCTCTCAGACCCAGTGGCTCAGGGAGGTGGTCTTGCCCCTGCAGCCACATTCACCTCCATGCCACAGTTTGGACTTGTGCTGTCTTCCCCTGTGCTGACTGTAGATCTGCAGGAACTGGGGCCAACCTCAACTTGTGTGTATCTTGTTTGAGTTTGCTTTATTTTGTCTGAACTTTTCTTTTTATTCCAGGACAGGCAAGTTTTTACCAGACCATATGTAGGAATCTTTTTACAAACATGTTATAGCAGTTGCTCTACTAAATTCTTAGCTCCTTCCACCATTTCATCCTTTTCTGCTCCTGAAAGTAGGAGCAGTATGGGTGTGGGATTTGTCCGACTCTTCTCTCAAACTCTTTTGCTTTCTCACTTTGTCCTTTTTATTGTGGTACAGTTCACTATAAAATCAACTTTTTAAAAGTGTAGAGTTTGGGCTTTAGTACATACAAAGGTGTGCAACCATCACTGCTATCTTATTTCAGAAGATTTTTATCTTCCAATGAAAACCTTGTACCCCTTTTGTTCCTCTAGCCTCTGAAAACCACCTACCTACTTTATGTTGATTTTTTTTTTTTTTTTGGTCCTATGCTGGACATTGCAAATAAATGGAATCATATAGTATGTGGCCTTTTGTGCCTAACTTCTGTCATTTTGCAGGCTTATATTTTTTGTAGGTCAAGGTTCATCCATCTCGTAAGTATTAGTTCATATTCATATGCCAGTTTTTGTCTGAACTTAAATGTTTTCATCACAAATGTAATTAGTAGTTGAAATGCTGTGTTCAATCTTTTGAAGAACTGCCATGCTCTTTGCTTGCTGTTCAGTATCTCTCTGTCATCAAGTTTGGTATTTATCCTGGCTTATTTTTTAGGATTTCTAGTGAATTTTAATTTTAATAATCATTTTTGAAAGTTTTTACTTTTTTGTTCTCTGTTCTTTCTTCCTGCCTACAATTGGTATGAAATATACTTTTGTATTGGAGATAAATGTTAGGACTGTTTAAAAAAAATCCTTTGAGATATATTAGGATTAAATATAATAATTAATATTTAAGGTAAGGCATTAGTATTATAAAACTTGTGCGCTTATCTCTTGAACCTGTAGGTCACTTCTTTTTCATTATAGTTCTGCTTTTTAATGCTGTTTATTTCTCAAATGCTTGACGATACTTTATTCTTAATATGATTAAATGATGTATAATGTGGTAACACCAGTTTCCTCCATGCTTGTTTAGTGTTTCTCCTTTATGGGAGAGGACGTGTGTATCAATAGGTGGGATCTGTTGGCTGGTGGACAGGTGTATTTTCTTTTTCTTTCTCTTCTTTCTTTCTCGATCTTTCTCTTTCTCTCTCCTTTCTTCTTTTCTCTTTCTTTTTCTTTCTCTCTCCTTTCTCTTTCTTTTCTTTCTCTTTCTCTCTCTCCTTTCTCTTTCTTTCTCTCCTCTTTCTCTTTTCTGCTCTTTTCTCTTTTTCTCTTTTTCTTTTTCTTTCACTTTTTCTTTCTCCTCTTTCTCTTTCTCCTCTTTCTCTGTTTCTCTTTCTGTTTCTCTTTTTCTTTCTCTTCCTTTTCTTTCTCTTTTTTCTTTTTCCTTTTTCTCTTTCTTTTCTTTCTTTCTTTATACTGAGAATTGAACTTGGGGGTGCTTAACCACTGAACCACATCCCCAGCCCTAGGGTCTCAGTGAATTGCTAGTGCCTGATTAAGTTGGTGAGGCTGGTTTTGAATTCTCAATCTTCCTATCTCAGCCTCCTGAGTCGCTGGAATTACAGGCATGCTCCACCACGCCCGGCCTTAGGGGTTTCTTTTATTTGCTGTGTGATTGTTTGTCATCTGGGACTTTCTATTCCACTTTCAGCCCTTCTTTGTTTCTAATTATCATGGAGTTAAAATAATTTTTCTATTTTAACAGATTCTTGAAGGGATTAGTGTCTAGTCCGCTAACATGATTGTGATTTATGGAGGTTTCATTTTTTACTTATTGTATAATATACACAGAAGTGCTTCTAAATTTGCTGGTGTCAAGGCTTTTTTGCTTATCATTTTCACTTCTCTATTTTTATTATAATAGTGAGTTCTATGTAATATTTCTGCTTGTGGGAGTGTTCTAATTTATCTTTGTGGTCTTGTATAAAATCAATTTTTAAAATTAGGCCATGAATATGGTCAATAATGGTAGCTAGCCTGTTCAATTCAGACTCCAAGATAGTTTCTGCATGTGGATTATATCCCTTGATTCTTACAACTTGAGGGAGTACATATTATTAGTCCTTCTGAACTTATGAGGTAACCAAGACCCAGACACATAAAAGATGAATAACTACTCAGGGCACTGTTGCCCCAATTATTCTCACTGTGGACTCAAGACAATGCATAGGACATGTGGTTCCTAGTCATCGATACCGTCCTGTACAGTCTTCCATTGAGTAAGAGTGTTCATCTTTTTCCAGGGTGTAGAGTTTGGTGTATACATGTGTTCCATTAGCCTTGTTGGTCTTACCATGGATGCTTGAATGTGTGTATGCTCACTTTTTATTGCTGAGCTTGGGGAAGAAGTAGATTGAAATTTGACTCCCTTTGGCTTTACTTTCATGCTTTGTTATTTGTTGTATGAGGGATCATACCTTATATTTTTTGTAGGTCATACAGTTTTTAGTTTATAAGAAAATTTCTCATTTAATGCTTTTAGCCTTGAATTCTGCTTTACTTCACTTCAGCCTTTAATTCACTTTCACTTCTGCTTCACTTCTGAATTCTGCAATGTGCAGCCATGTTTTATCCACTCCTTTCCCGCTAACACATGTAGTAACTTAGTTTTTGATGGTGTGATCATTTTTGTTTAGCAGACATTTAGAAAGGGCATACTTGTACTCCAAGCACTGGTCTCAGTGTTCACAATGGTGAACAGAACAAAGCTCTGCCTTCATTGACTTTAAGGGTTGACCTTGAGGGAGGTAGATAATAATTGAGTAAACAAATGAACAGTAACTACAAAAATTTAAATCAGCTCTAAGCTCTAATATGATAGCCACTAACTACATGTAGTTTGTTAAAGTAAAATTCAATAAAATTTAATATTAAGTTTCTCGCTTGCACCAGGCATATTTTATGTGCACGAATAGTGATGTTTTCAGTGTATACTGCACTGAAGAGTGTGGTCATAGAACATTCCTGTTATTACATGGAAGTCTGTTGGACACTGCTGCCCCAGATGTTCTTGGGGATACAGGATGGTTCTTAGGAGACTGCTGAGTTGGGGAGGGCATTAGAACCTGGAGTGGCCATATTGAAGAAATCTGAATTCTGAAAACGACAGGCTTGTGAGGGTCTTGTATATAGAGTATTATTGTATTTAAGTTTTTGTTATAAACTGAGGACTACTGTCATTATTACTTTAAGTTTATAATTGAAAAGTATTAATGTTTTTAGGTAGGGTATTTTCTCTGATTTGATTTGAAATTATTTCTGGGGAAATTAGAAATATTACCATGTTGTGATACATTTTTATTTTAGATGAATAAATCTAGTCTTTAATATTTAATTTTGTAGATTGAGAAATGATTTAGTGTCTCATAAATTTTTAAAAATTTTAGTTCTAGTTGGACACAATACCTTTATTTTATCTATTTCTATGTGGTGCTGAGGATCGAACCCAGTGCCTCACACATGCTAGGCAAGCACTGTACCAGGCAGCCCCAGCCCTTCATAAATATTTTTGAGCTTATTTTTGAAAACAGGTTTTGTGTTTCATATTGTCTACTCATTGGTGAGTTTTTGATAACAAGCATTTGTTTTACAATTGTGAAAAAAACCCAACTAGATCTTAATGCAGCTACCTGTTTGAATTGCACACGTGGAAATAAAGCAAGTGACTTGGTTGCAATTGCAGCTACTCAATGGCCTTGTTTGTCAGCTTTCTGTTGCTGTGACAAATACCTCATTCAAAAAACTTAAAAGTAGTGCCACTGGCTAGGGACCAAGCCTTTTAACTAATGGATATTTGGGAGACATTTAGGATCCAAGGCATAACAATGACAAACTGGTGACTGGAAGCTTCTTTATTTTGTAAGTTGGTATAATATCCTACCAAATCTTTTTCAAAATGATCACTTTTAAAGTACAGTCTTTATATTCAGAGGTGGGATGGTAATCATTAAATGGCTAGGACTTTTATCTTCATATGTTAAGAGAATTGAATTCCGTCAGAATTATCTGTCAGAAGTGTCACTGCACATTTTCTCTATGCTACTTCTGAGTAGCATGGGTCCTGGGAATGTTTAAGGAACTGTGAAAATTAGTGCATGCTGATGAGCCAGGAAACAGGCAGGTGTCACTAAATGTGGTTCTCATCAACTTCCCAATTTCTTTTCTGGTGAAAAAAGTCTTAATTTCCTGTATTTCAAACCACACCGAGGTCTGAAGTTTAATTATTTATCAACTTCATTTTTTGCTAAATGCCAAAGAAATGCATCATTAAAACTAAATAGGATTAATTAAAATACAAATAATCTTTTTAACGGTGCTCATATTATTTACCACCTATATAGAAACTCACTAGCTCAGTAAAAGTGGAATAGAGACCTTAAGCCAAATGCCTGTGTACTCACATAAAAGGGTTAATTAGTATTTCTCTCTCGTCTCAGGTTAAGGCCTTTTCAAAAGTCCATTTTCCGTTTCATCATTAACCATAGCTTGTTTAAATTTTGTCAACAAAATAGCATTACAAAGGACATGGTTGTTCCAAGTTTCTCCTTATACATGAGGGATGGTTTCTTTGGGCATTGTACGTGTGGATTATAGGCCTGTGCTATTACACTGAATTTTTATTTCATAGTCTTATATCTAAAGCATGTGACAGCTAGTATTGACTTCTTTGGTCCCAACTCTTCTTTTCAAAGTTTGTATTCTCTCCATTTACAGACGGGCCAAAGTTGCTCGGGTAATTGGTTTGCTGGCTTCGCACACAACTGAGCTCCAGGAAAATACACCCATTATTGAGGTAATTTCTTTCATTACTGACATGTTATGAATGACAAAAAAGATTGTGTTTTTTTTTTTCGTGGTTTAGAACATACAGCTTTATGTTGACTTTCACTTAATTTTTCTTTGTGGAATTGTGGCAATTGTAAAATGAAGATCTGGATAGAATTAAGCTCATTTACAACAGTTGTCTGTTATTGAAGATGGTGTGGCAGAATACAAGGCCTTTTTGAATCATTCTATATAATTCAAATTGAAATTCTTTTGGCTTTTCACCTTGATTTTGTTTTCATCCTCACCAGTTGTCAGTTATTTCTTGATAACTGATTCATGATGCTGATTCATGCACTAAGGATGTTTCTAGTATCAATCAGTCATTTCTTTCAAGTACTGATACTGGGAATTTTTTCTTGTTTAGTTAATAATTTTAAGTTCTGTGAAGTGAATACTACTATTGTACTACTTATATGAGTGACTTTGAATACTGAAAATGGCTTTCTACCTATCCTGTTAATGTGAAGTATGGTCAATTGGTAATGGATTTTTATTCCTTGGAATGGGAAAGAGTCAAGAGTCAAAATGCATAAAAAAATACCAAAGCTTTTAGGGTCAAAAACTTGGGGTAAGGAGAGGGGCTTTGGTAGAGCAGAAGCTGATGGTGTGGTATTGGAGCATTTAGAGGAATTATTTGTCTAAGTACTGTCCAAATGAACTTTCTGTAGTGATGGAAACATCCAAGCAGAGGCCTGAATTGAAGGAATTGAAGAAATGAAGTGAACTATCTGGCACAAGAGTGTTTGAGACAGGGTGAATAGCATTTGCAAAAGGCTAGAGGTAAAAGAAGTGTGGTTTGCCCATTTCAAGGAAGGAGGAGGGGTGAATATAGGGCTGATGAGAGGACGGGTAGAAGATGAAGTGTCAGGAACTAGATGATGTAGATTTGTTGTAAGATGTGATAAGAACTTGGGATTTTATTCAAAATGAGATGGGAGGCCACTGGAGGATTGAGAACAGAGGAGTACACTGTTGTGCTTATGTTTTAAAAGGATCACTCTATTTCAGGGACAGGGTAAGGTAGACTCAGACTAGTGTAGAATGTGAGAGGTGATGGTGACTTGCATCAGGTTCTTAGTCACCTACGCATACTTGCATGTACTTACACATATACTTATTTCCTGGATATACTAGAGGAGTGACAGATTTGCTAATTGCTATAATATCTGAAAGCAGACTATAATATCCAAGAAGTCTGCCCAATATAAATTCTAATGTTCAATATTCCAAATGCTGTGTTGTCATGGAAATGGAAATGAAAAGAAAAGTGAAGTGTCAAAAATGGTCACCAGATGGAGAGAAGGAGCTCTTAGATGCTTCTAGGGGGAGTATGAATGAATATAGCCATTCTGGAAAACTTCTTGGCCATGTCTCCTAAAGCTGAAAACATTTCTACTTGTAACCCAGCATCATTACCTTAAAACTCAATGTGCCAAATGACACAAGTAGATACATACTGACAGCATTATTTATAACAGCCCCACATTTAAAATAATCCATATCCATATTCCATCAACAGAAGAATGAGTGAAGGGTGTCGCATTCAGTGTGCTAGTCAGTGCTGAATGAATAGCATTGAGAGTAATGAACAGCAGTGTTGGGCAACAGGCCCAAGTGAATCTCAGTCAGACTATTGTTTTAGACACCTGTAGGTATTGTATGGGAAAGACTGATCATATATTCAGAACTATTCCGTGGGTTGTGGTGGTTTCTCCCTAGAAGGGCAGCTCCCCTTGAGCAGACAACGTGGGGGAGAGGTGAGCAGGTGGGTGTTGTGGAAGGTACATGGAGAGGAGAGTTGCCTTGTGGCTTAGTTAGGGGAAGACAGGCTAGAGGCCAAGGCTGTATTGTGATGCTGCCCTTAACCCCTGTGGCATCTTTGTGCTTGGAACCCTCTGTAAGTGGCTAGGAGATATGTTCTGCTGTGATAGGAATCCTCAAGGGTCTGGATAGAGGGCCTTTGCAGGAACTTGGGACCTGTTCATACCCTGGGTGATGGGATCTCCTCCCCTGTGGCCTGATCCTCTTGGTACATGCTTTTGCTGCTGCCTGAGAGCTGAACTGCACAGTGGTTTTTACTGTTAGCTAGAGTTCTTGGCTTGTGCTTCCTTCTCTTGGGATGCTGGGTACGTAGTGTTTCAGTATTTCTCCAATTCTTGTTGCTGTCCCTCTCACAACACAGTATTCCTGATGTTGCCTCTGTTGAGAGGAGAGGCCAGGCACTAGTTTCTGAGGTTCTGTATATTTTATTCTTGCACTGTTTCCCTCCTGGCTTTTCACTGGTGTTTGGATGCAGACTTGGAGAAATAATTATTTCACTAAAAAAAAGTAATACTCTGTTTATCTAGTAAACTTTTGAATTCAGCATATTACATAGTGAACAAAATTTTATTCGATAATGAGTTTACATCATAAGTTGAAATCATGCCAGGTGCTCCTTTGTGATGCAGTCTTTATTATTATTTTTATGCTGGGGATTGAACCCAGAGCTGTGCTCATGTTAAGTGTGTGCCGAGACGCTGAGTGACACCCTCAAGCCCCGTGATGCCATTTTAATTTTTATTTCTTAAAGCACTTTTCAGTTCTTTTGTGAGCAATTGAATTTGACAGTTTAACCACTAGATGTCACTCAAACACTGGAAAAATGTTATGTAAGTTTAATAATTTATCTTGTGAAAGAAGCAGATGTATGGAAATTCAGCAGGTATTGTACAGTACAGTGTTTTCATATTTTTAGGAGTTTCTTCTAAAAAACTTGGCTTCATTCTATTGGTGATTGTTACCATTTTAGGTCAATGAGATTAATGAAATCCAGGATATCCTCTCCAGAAAAATTCATGCAACATCTTGCACATGATTTGAGGGGACTTGGGGACTGTGTGGAGCCACTGGTGAACCTTTGGCTCAGAGCTTTTGAGACTAGTTTTCTGTATAATGCAGTTGGGTGTTTATATATAGTTTTTCACTAAATCATTCATTAAAAACTTCAGGTGTTTGATGAATTTTTCTCTAGTCATTTTAATACCCATGAATAATAAACATAGGTTGAAGATCCAGTAAACATTTTAAAGGCATAGAATCTTACTTTGTTACTCCCTTTGTATCCCACAGTGCCAAGCCAGCCAAGTTGCATATGTATTTCAGGCACTCTGTTAATGCTTAAGGATTAAACAAATGATTAAAAGAATGATAAGAAAAGTATAGTGGTGTGTGTGTATATGTATATGTGTGTGTATATATATCATATATAAATAAAATATAAAAACACAGAAGAAACCAATAAAAAAATCTATTTTGCTATCCTTATGATATACTCTAGGTTTCTTTTATCTCTTCCTAGCTGCATATAAGAATTGGTCATGATCTTTTATTGGCTTCTTTTCCATAGAAAAATACAATCATCTTTAGTTGATGATTTTAGTTAATACATTTTTCTTGATAAATGTATTATCAAGATGATAATCTTTTATTATCATCTTGATAATACATTTGCCATTCTAATTACTGGGGCTCTTTAAGTGTAATAATTTGTAAGGAATATTTCTGGTACTATGCTGCATGTCGTCTCAAGCATGTAGAGAATATATTTTAGGAAACTGAATATAGATGCAGAAAATTCTAGAATCGAAAGGAATATTAACATTAGGTTAGTCTCTTCATTAACATTTTTATTGTGGAATATTTTCATAATATATATAAAAGTAGAGTAGAATAATGAGGTTTTATTACTTCCAGAAATTATCAACATTTTGCAAATCTTCTTTCATCTTGTTTCCCCTCCCTTTCTCTTTTTTATTTTAAGAAAATCACATTTTCCTCACACTCATTTTTTTTCTCATGAAAAGAACTTAAAAATATAGCCCAAATTATATTATTACACCCGAAAAAGTACTATCAGACATTTCCCTATTACTTTTGGTACCATTCATTTATTAGAGAGATTTCCATTTGTCTTAGTTGAAAGTGGAATGTCAAACTTTTTTGTGGCTTTATGCTATCATTTAACTTAGTCCCCTATCACCTGCATTGCCTGAAAAGATTGGTTAGATGTAGCCCCTTGATTAGATCCAAGTTCACATTTTTGGACGGTTGTGATGGGGGTTAGAATTCTTAGGTGGTGCTGTGGTATTTTCCATTGCCTCACAGAGAAAAGCATACATATGGTTGTCTTGTTATTAGTGTATTAGGATTACTTGATAGTTTCAGATGTTAGTCTTACTATAAATTTATCCCTCACTTTCATTTAAAACTTTTAACAAAGATTATCATTGTCTAGATGCATTAATTCTTGAGGACTATAATGTAATGATTTTTTCCATTCAATAACTCCTTTACCATTGATAGTTGAATGTTTTTCTTAGAGGAATTTTCCTTGATCAACCATTTGGTTATTCTAAGATGTGTTTAGCAAGGCAGGATATTTGCTTGTTTCCCTTTATAGGCCAGTTTTAAAAATGATAAGCTCATGCCTTTATCTCCAAAACATCCATTGAGGTTTTTTTGTACTGAGAAATATATATAAACATACACACATGTTTATTTCCTTTGCGGTCATTAGTCTTTTTGTTGCTTTTTTTGGCCCACATCTGTCCATTGAGAGTCCTTTCAGGTTTACTCATTGCTCCTTTTGACGTGACCCTGCCACTGTCTCCAAAGATGTGCTTGCTTTTTGGCAGCAGCATTTCACAGGGCTGCTTGGGAATCATCATCCCCTAGCTTTGAAGCCACTTCTGTAAGGAACTGTGTTTACTTTGAGTTGGAATAGCCTGTGAAGGGCTGCTCACACACATGTATGTGTACATACTTAGACTCACACACACTTGCATAGTCATTCTTATTTGAGTATAAGTAAATGTGTAAGCATGTGTGTAAGCATTTATGAGTAAGCATGTAAATATGCGAGTGTGTGAAAGTATGTAAGGATGTGAGTGTGCAAATGTGTGTAAGCATGTAAATATGTGAGCA